CACATGTAGTCATGTACAAAGAACAAATAATTTAAAATTGCCATATTTTTCATTGCCAGATTGTCAGATTTTTCCTTTAAAATCACCTTTACATTTAAAGGAGTTATAGCTTTTTTTTATTACTAGATCATATTTTAAAGATTTCAGCTCATCACAGTATGGTTCCAAATACTCTGTAAGCAAGCTTAGTACAACCAAATAGCCAAACCTTGTTTATTGTGTTGTAATCCTGTGTAGGTGTGATCTTTGCAGTATTTATAATAACCAACCAACACTTTAGACTGATTTTCAGAGAGAACATTGTGCATTTTTGGGGAAAAATAAAAGTTCAACAGAGATGCACATTTGTTATAATCTTGTGCATAAAAAAAATGTGTATTTTAGTGTTAATGTTGTTTAATTCTAAGTACTAAAGCATCAAAATCAGAGTGAGAGACTCAAACAGGCTGCACACTCCCTGCAGCATCTTATCCCTCATGCTCTTTGTTAGCTGAAGTCTGGTCACGCTCACAAGTTAGACGTGTTTTTATGCCATTGATTTTGCTCTGGATGCATTAGTATTTAATACAAAATAAATGTTGTTACAAAAGACCCGAGGAGGTTGAGACATAGTGTGGGAGGAGGGGGATGATCAGCTTTGGTCTCCCCCAGCCACAGTGAATTAGTCACAAACAAACATATACAGACACATATTAATTTATTACACAGCATGATAGTTATGGGGGGGACAGGCAGTTCCATTGTAGAGCAGGTCACCCTTTGTCGTAATGAGGGGAAACAGTCAAAAAAGCATTTTCCTCTTTAGTCTGGTGATGCAGCAGTGGACTCGTCTCTTGACACCCCAGCCATGTTGGGCTATTGAAAGAAGATGGGATCTTTATTGCGTGATGGTAAAACCAGAGGTTGGTTTGGACCCATGGCTCTAGGGTCATGCATGGCCTTTTGTTCATTCTGCAGTGGCTTTTTATATTTGATCAAAAATGAACAAAAGTCTAGTTGTATTCATTTTTTTTTTTTTTTTAGTTTTTTTTGCCTCTGCAAACAAGAGAATGATATTTATATTACAAGGAACAAAACTTATCAGATCATGCTAGTAATAACCCAACTTCCACCCATGAAGTGTGACTTTTTTAAATTTATATTTTGATTTTTTTTATATATATCTTTAAAGCAATTTGATAAAAAATACACAATGAAGATTTGTGAATGTCACAAAACAAATGTTATTGAAAAAAGGAGTTCTTCAAATATTTGGCAAGTCAACATGTTATTGACATTTTAATTAACATATTACTTTTGATAAAAACTATTAAAGTTGAAGTTAATGAACTTATGAAACTCAATAAGTCATAAATAAATATACAAACTGGCCTTTTCCTCTTTCGGCTGCTCCCTTCTTCAGGGGTCACCACAGTGAACTAAGTCACACGAACACTTGACAGTTATTTTTACTCTGGATGTTCTTCCTGACACACCCACAGACACTGAGCTACCACAGCCTCTGTGTGGAGCACAGAGCTGCTATCTAGAGCGCCAGGAGAGCAGATGGTGGGGGTTAAGGGCCTTGCTCATGGGCCCAGACTGGGACAAATGAGAGTGGAGACAGGTGTGGTTGTGCTGTCGTTACCACCCTGATGTTGTCGGTCTGGGGAATCAAACTGGCAACCTTCCATTCACAGATCTCTAACCTCTGCACCACCACTCACTCTTGTTTGTTTTAATGTTTAAAAATAGAGTAGTTATTATTATTTTTGCTCCCTGTTGCTCTGGCCCCCGGCCTGAGGCCGGCTTGCAGTCGCTGTCTGGTGGGTGGGGCGCATGGACAGCCCGACAGAGGCTCTGTCGGACTGTCTCTGTGTGCCTGTTTATGTCTCAGGTTGGGTTTTAGGTGGTCCCCTCTCTTGGATCAATTTTGGCCCCCCATCTGGTGTGTCGTGCTCCCCTCCGGTGGTGGGCCCCCCTGCTGCCAGTGCATTGGTGGCTCTCAACAGCAGGGGCTGGGTGGTGGGGTGTGTGCGGGCACACCCTGGTGGCTGCCTGTCGGTGCCTGGGTGCCCTGGCTCTGTCGTGCCTCTTTTGGGGGGTGGTATGACCTGGGGACTCTGTGTCCATGGATGGATCCACTCTGGAGGGGCGAGTTGCCGGCGGAGCCTGTGGACTCCTCGCTGCAGCCTCCTGGGGGTTTCTGCATTGTGGTTGCTGGGGGTCGCCCGGGGCTTCCCTTTGCTTCTCTCTCTGGGGGGTGCGGGTGTCCCTGTTGGGGGACTACCGGAGTTCCGGGCTTGGGGACCGCTGTGTGTCTGTGGTTCTGGTCTTCCCTGTGTTACCATCATGTCCTGTGGGGACAGGTCTGTGGTCCCCACATCCACTATTGAACATTTTTATGGAGAAACCTTACAGTGACAACATGCTCACACAGGTGTTTAGATTCAGGTGTTTATCAGATACACACTCAGTTGGGTTGTGGTGGCCACTAAATATATCTTGTATTACCATGTACTGTATAAAATACTTTCTAATGATGTTATAAGTATCATTATATATGTTGTTTGTTGTTGTGGTTTCTTGGTTTTGTCTTGTTTTTGTTTGTTTTTTCTTTCCGCAGGTCTAGAGGCAGACTTCAATGATGTTGATGTGTGTTCTCTTTATACCTCTCTCTCTCTCCTCTATTCCTATCTCCTCCTTTGCATTTTGACTTCTCTCACTTTTCTGCTTTGTTATCTTCTTTGTTTTTCATCCCCATGTCCATTACATCTGGAACAAACCCAAAGCAAATTCTAATAAAATTAAATTTTTATATCAAGCAGAGCATTAAGGCCAGCCATAATGCTCTGCTTGTGAAAGTAAATCTGTTGGGCTTCACTTTGACACTCAGACAATAATTCTAAGTGTCACAATTCTGGACAGGACAAGGGGGAAACAAAAAAAAAACCTTTGGAAAAATTGTAAAAAAAAATAAATAAATAAAATAAGCAAATACATTTAAAAAAAATCTAAGGGACATAAATGGCTCTTTTGAGTGTAAAATGTACAAACCTTTATTACTCTTACATCTTTACAGAGATGTATTTATTGGGGGGTGAATTGTTTCTGAGTTAAAAACAAGTCGACGTGCCAAACCAGAGGCCACTAACCCTCCGGCTGATCTTGACTGTCGCAACACGATGAACATTCAGTTTTCACAGCTGCACTTACTGGATGTTATTAATTCAAAAGAACGATTGGATAACTTTGGAGCTAAAATATTAATTTGTGCAAAACAGAAATTATAAATGTCACATTTTGTATTTCACAGGCTCCATAGTAATGAGAAAAAATGAGAAGAAAGATAAAAGTGAACAGCAATCACATCTCATCCTTGTTGCCTCTAAATTAAAACCAAATGCTTAATGTTTGTTTTTTCAGACGTTGATGAGTGCAGCTTGCTAACACACACCTGCTGGAATGACAGTGTGTGTGTGAACCTGGCCGGAGGCTACGACTGTGTGTGTGCATCTGGGCCTGGATGTAGTGGCAACTGCCCACAGGAGGAGGGACTCAGACGCAATGGAGAAGACTGGAAACCCAGCTTTGATCGCTGTGCAATATGCTCATGCAAGGTAAAGGAAACACACACGCACATGCCCACACACACACACACACACACACATGCCCACACCACCACCACCTCAGACACCCACAGTAGTAATTTAATATTATTGTTCCTTGTAAAGATAGGTGAAGGTTCCTTTCTATGACATTCTGCAAACAATCTACTTTAGTTTTTGCCATCAAACCATTTTTAGACTTATTTTGTCTCTAGGAGAGAAAAAAATAGAAAATGAAACTACCTGCAACCTTTTAGTCATTTCAAATTCCCCTTATTACTTATCAGATATGTTTGGGATAAGGTGCATGCGTCATACAAAAGAAAAGGATTTAAGAAAGAGACCCCCTAAAATATTTCATATGTATTTGTTACTACAATCATGGTATTGTATGCTAAGGAGGATATATACTCTGTGTACAGCACTTTGACTAGCGATTTTAAAATTCTTTATAAATAAAGTTGTATTGTATGTACTGTATGTTAACTTTCAGCTAAAAAAAAATAACCTTGTTGATACCAAAATACCTTTTTTTTACTGATGATCTGTTGTCTATGACTTTTTAATAGAAAAAAAAATCTTAAGAATTTGGGACAATTTTTGTCTTTGTGACAGACTGCTAGTACCAACGTTTTATAAGATTATTGCTATTTGTTTATTTATTTTTCAAAATCACTCATTCACTCCTTGTGTTTATGAGTAGTTTTTTTTTTTTACATGTATGATTCACAGAACATGAAACCGCAAATAAGTTTAAAAGCAACCGTAAATCTGGCAGATTATAATTATTTTCCCCTTTTACAATTGACATTCTGGACATTATAAATGAAGAAATTCAATAGTAATGTAAATGTCATCCTCACTAAGCTTTGACCAGCATTTCTTGAAAGTCAATGGTTAAAGTTGAACAAGGGTTAAATAAATACAGTGTCGTAAAATTCTAGTAAAAAGTAAATAAACAAAAAGAAAAGGGTTCTTGGAAAAACATGTACAGAAAAGCCCATATGTATTTCCCTTGTTGCAGTATAGAGAAAAGGAACATTTGGCAGAAAGAGTCTGTCATCAAAATTGTCATAAACAAGCACAACTGCTGTTTGGTTAGCACAGCTGTGTCACATCTGCATGCAGAATTGGGCTTTCTGCTGGCATTGAAATTTGCAGACTGCTATCGTAAATGTGCTCTACTGGCACATTACAGTTGTCAGTACTTTCCCAGCATACCGAGGGCTGTAACTCTAAAGACCAAGGCCATCAGAAATAGCACCACATAACGGAGCAGTTACGATAGCAGGACAATATGCATCAATAAAACAGTGGCTCTGTGCTGCCCTTTTAATGACATGCAGAGTGATTTTATGGCTGTCGTACATTTTCTAACTGCCTTTTTATGTAACATTTTTACATCTCTATAACAAAATCATCCTGGGGCCAGACAGTGCTAGCCGTGCTCTGTAAAATGGACCATAAAGTTTTCTCCAGGTACAGACTGAGAGCCAGCAACAGTGTCCGGAGAAGGTTAAGATCTGTTAGAGTCCATCACATCTAGCAATGCATCCTATACCAGATTCCAAATAAACAGCACATTTTTTATCTATTTCAGACCTGTATTAAAATTGATGTTTAAAATGTACAGCAACACATTCCAAGTATTTTGAAACGACCCATTTAATGGGAACGGTCTAAGATTAGATTAGACAAGATATTATTTTTCAACTAAGACCAAATAACCATGACAAAAGCAACACTGGATCCAAATCATTTTTAAAATGTCAACACCTCTAAGGTGATCTACCTCTAACTGTCATGCACATTCATTCAACCTTTATTTAGACAGGTTAATCCCATTGAGCCTCGAGGACGCATTTACAACAGAGACCTGATTTCAACAAAGAATGATGACAACAATGGACAACAGTGACAACAATAGACAGTTATAAAATTACATAGAGATTTATTTTGTTTTTTACAAATAAGATGGCAAAAAAGAAACAAAAACAGCTAGATTGTAAGGCGAATGTAGAAAACTATAAACAGGAACATATCTGCATTGGTCCCTGCCAGGTGTCCAACAGATTCTTAAAGCCACTTAGAGAGGTCAAGGTCGAGAGCTTCAAATCTTTTTGTAAGATATTCCAGGAAACAGGAGTGGAGTAGGAGAAGACCCCTTTGCCTAGTTCAGTCCTCATTGAGGGAACACTGCAGGTAATAATGTCCTGAGAGCGCACGCTGTAGCTGCACTCACGCAGAGACATGTAGGAGGAGATGTATGAAGGCAGCAAACCAAGAAGTGATTTAAAGATGAAAATGTACCAGTTGGAGAGTCTATGTGAAGTTAATGATGTCCAGTTAACCAGTAAATACAGGATACATCTGTTCATTACTTTTTGAGTAATCAAGCTAACAATCAGTAACACAATTATTCATGTTTACCCATCCACACAGCCATTCTGATGTAACGTGTTCTTCAAATGATGTTTGACAAAGTTTAAGAATCTTATCTTGAAGACCCTTTTCAGACAAGATACTAGCATTCATTCTGATCATTGGATTGCACTCAGATGACAATAAATGTAAGTGTGAATGGCCACAATCCACACTGAAAACATTTTCACTCTGGGCCTTTTTCATGCACTTTATGCATGATAGTCTGAACACAATTTGCCTAAGCCAAACTACTTGTCACATTCTGATGGGTCCGGCAACACCGATGTTTCGGCGCATGCGTCGAGCAAAACTCGTGCCGGTGCGCATATCACTATTAGAAAGTTGTGTGACCGATACAGGAGCTGTTTTTAACACTAATGCACCAAACTGTTGATAAGGAGGCGTATCTGTTAACGAGATGCTTCTGCCAAAAGACTCTTTGATCTTTTGCTGGCCATCATTAAATTCAACAAGAATTATGAAGCAGCCTCAAACCAAAAGAAAGGTTTTCACCTTGTGGGACCTTTTTGATCTCATATCGTAAAATAAGGTATTTGCTTTAATTTCCTTGTTTCAGCCTGTTCCTCTCAGAGTTTCCACTTGATCTATCTGAATTCAAATTCATTTCAAAGTGAATCTTAGTTTACTATTCATATTATTTTCTGCAGGTTAAATGTCGCATTTGTTTGACAGAGCTTTCATATTTAAATAAATCCACCTCCTCAATGCTGAAGCATTATAGGGCCAGGCACGATAATGAAGTCCCAGATCCATCCAGGGTAAACTCAGGTATACAGCCATTTTAAAACTTATTCACAGTTGCTTTATTGATAATTGATAACTTTAAAAAGGCAGAAACAGCAATTCATGAGTTCTGCCTGACCCAAACTGTGGCCTTGACGCCCGAACTTTTCTCAACTCCTCCTGGAATGTTTAGAAAACAACAAAGATGCTTTGGCTGTCTCCTCACCCCTCTCTTCCCCAAGGCCGTGGACATTTGACAGAACCTCATCCGACTGATGATAAATGTCACCTCTTATCTGGACAATGGCTGAGGGGGGGCTCTGGACTATGCTACGACTTTCCCTTAAAAATTCAATGTTTTCACCGCCTATATGTACATGTATGATGTCTATTTAAGTTGCTTTGCTGTGGTAGGTTTTTTGATGCCTCAGATCGTGCCCTTTCTAGGACACGGCGTGAGAGATCTTTTTTTATACCGTCTCTCCTCATGTTTTCTTTCCTTTTCTCATCTAAGCAAAGTATTATTCTGAATAAGAATAAGAAGACCACACTATTTATAGCCGCAGCTTTGTGCACTCCACCCATCTTTCGGACGACTGTACGTACATATTCGCGTTGTATCTCGGTGCAATGACAATAAAGTTTATTCTGATTCTGAATTAATTCCTATTAATGTATTCTTTATCTCATTTTTAACCATCAAGCTTCCAGGAAGCAGATGCTGGATGAGGCTCTGCTGAACTTCATCCTGAAGGACTGCCAGCCCCTTTTATAATAAAAATGTATAAAAAAAATAAATAAATAAAACAATCCTAGGCCACAAGCATCCTCATTCACCACACGTTCACTTATATTTTCACATTATGATGCATGTTCACATTATTTATTGACTGTATCTAAATATAGCATATATTTTAAATTTAAATGAAGGTATGAAATAATGCAGACTAAAATACAATGACTTAAATTATATTTTTGTCATAGGTCATCAAATCCGTGTCAGTTGAGTCTGTCAACTAGGTTGCCTGTAGGGATTCTTAAGTTCCAGCAGGTGTCAGTATTCAGTGACAGTATCGACACAGTATCAATACAGTTTGACAATGTGTTGAAACGCTTCATGACGCCTCATCTACCCATCACTACTGGTGTAGTTCAGACCCAAAGGTGCAGGTAGCACAATGACTCTGTAGGTAAAATAATAATATTTAATTCAAAGAACACAAAATAGCTGTCAGGGCAGCAACTTAGTGATATGTCCTTCTGTGTCGAGGCTTCGAAGCGTGTGTCGAGTTAACCAGGAGGATTTATGTGGAGCGTGTATCAAGGCGTGTATTGTTGACTCATGTAGCGACGTTCGAGGCCTTGCTAGTGGGACGTAACACGTGATCGATTCAGGATCTGGCTCGTTTGTATGAGCAAGATTCAAAATATATGGGGCAGACAAAACAATCCATCATCACCATCATCATAAAGACAGATTAAGATCATTTGCAGATCAAATTTAGCCTTTGAGGTCCTCACAAACACAATTTATTTTATTCTTTTATTCAACTTAAAGCTTTGCAAACCAGTTATGTTATTCTGATGCATGCTCAATAATCCAGGTAGAAAAATCTAAAAAAGTTAAATCTGGTCCTCTGGACATTCAAAAAAACAAAACAAAGCAAATCAACAAAAAAAATGTAGAAACGTTTCGTCTCTCATCCGAGAGACTTCTTCAGTCTGAGGTGCTGTATTCAGCTCAGTCTCTTAAATAGCACCTTCTCAGAGTGGATCAGCCAGTTTGCTGCTGACAACCAAAACCAGCTGATCACATGCTCAAGAAGGACCATCAGCCTAACAATGGATCATTAGCACACTGATGGCTGTTTACTGTTCACAGAGGGCTGAGTGATACTAGCAATCACAGCATTGTAAGAGGGGGACAGTTGAA